TATATATACATATATTAGTGAAAGAGGATGTAGGGAACATAGTGTTGGTACAAACATAAAGGAAAAATCGGCGACTGTGCGCGTGTGTCTGAGGAGGAAGGGAGTGTGCTTCAGGAGCGGTAGGGGTTGAGCATGGAGCGTTTAATGTCTTGCCGAAACTTACCGAGAGTGGTAGGGGTTCAGTTTTTGGGCAGTACATTTTAGAAGAAGCGAAAAGTCGTGAGGCCGCGCCCCACCGAACACGATGCGAAGCGCGGAGTGCCACCTGCTGCCATGGGAGCGCGCGAGGGGCGGCCGCGCCAGGTGACAGGGTAAGCAGGCGAGATTCAACGATGTTGGGGTAGACAAGGCACAACGCATACCTCTAATTACCATCTTAATTATGGATATCATTGTTATAAATAAAGATTCGATTATTTCTGATAAATGAAAGTATGGATGTCTCAGACCAATTGTCCTACATTACATTTATTAAACGTTTTGTCACTTTAGACCATGAAGATATCGATGTTTCTGTTATAGATACAAGCATAAATTAATAAAATATTTAATAAACGCATTATGGATATGAAATATAAAAGAATGAATATAATTATCCATGAAATAAAAATGGTTAATTATGATAAATATAACTATCATCATCTGTAAAATTTAATAAGATATTCATCATAAATATAGCTATCATTATCTGCAAAATTTAATATGATATTTATGATAAATATAAGTATAATCATTCATGAAAGATATATATTCATTCATTAGTTATTTATTATAAACGGTTGATGAATATAAGCGCTTATAAAATCATACAGATTCATATATACTTTGGATATAACCCAGGAGAGAAATCATTTTTAAGAAGTGATATGCCATCATAATTAACCATATGATACTGCTATTTATCAAAATAAACTCGAAATTGCACTTCCTGATTCACCCCTCTTCCTCTTCCTCAGAGGAACAACTAATCTGCCTCCAAGCACTAGTAACCTCGGCAGCCCTCCAGCGCCAGCGAAGTCGACTCCCCCGCCCGGCCCTTGCGCGGAGAGGCGCCGCGTCCCAGGAGGCGCCTCGCCACGACTCGCCTCGCATGGCATTCGGCGTGGCCTCGGCGGGAATAGCGCTCACCCAGCGTCAATGGGAGGCGGATGGGCTTTTGCGATCAATTGTAAAAAGACAAGGGATAAGGGGAAGGGAGGGAGAGAGAGAGGGATAAATAGATAGATAGAGAGAGAGAGAAAGAAAGAGAAGGAAGGGAAATGTTGGCCAAAAAGAAGGGGAGAGGAAGGTCATGATAAAGGAGAAAACAGACGAGGGGATGTGAAGAGGAAAGAATAAGGTGAAAAGATAGAGGAAAGATTGGATGAAAAGAAATTAATGTATAAAAGAGGAAGAGGGACAAGGGGAGAAGGGGAGGGTGAGAAGGGGAAAGGGGGGAGGTAGGAGAGGGGAAAGGGGGAGAAGAGGAGAGCGAGAAGAGGCGGAAAGAGGAGAAGGAGAGAGGGGAAGAGGGGAACGACAAGAGGGTGAGTGGAAGAGAGCGATAGAGGGAGATGGGGGAAGGTGGGGGAGGGGAAGGAAGGGAACAGGAAGGGGGGAGGGGGAGAAGGGGAACGGGAAAGGGAAGGAGGAGAGGGAGGAGAAGGAGAGAAGGGGAGAGGGGATGGGAAGGGAGGGAGGGAGAAGGGGAGAGGGGAGGGACAAAGACTCTGCAAAAAATCTTCTAGAAGTTTCTGATTTCCATGAAGGCTCCGTAGGTCAAAGCCCGTAAGATCCTCTCCAACTTATTCAGTGCAAAAAAAAAAAAAAAAAAAAAAAAAATCGCAAATTGGACTTGGAAACACGCAAAAAGGAAGCTGTCAATTAATATAAGTGATTTCTTTTACACAAAACTTCGCATTAACTTTAATGGCTCAGGATATCCTCCCATCGGCCTTCGGGAGGCGGATAAGTCAGCTCGAAGAATGCCGACTTGAGTGGATATTTAATGGGAACCAACC